AGTCAAAAACTCCTAAACCACCACATAGAGATGATCACTTACCATATATCTTCCTGGAAATTTTCTATGTATATTTGCATTCTATATACAAAAATTGACTACACTATGTATACTATTATTCTGCCTTCTTGGTGTAACTGTGGACATCAGTACACATCAATAAATATTTTTAATAATGTGTGATGGCAAAGGAGTACTTGACTGTAGAATCAATCTTAATTTATTAGCCAATCACTCACTTTTTTTATGATTCTTTTTTTAAAATTTATTTATTTATTTATTTATTTTTGGCTGCATTGGGTCTTCATTGCTGCACGCGGGCTTTCTCTAGTTGTGGCGAGCGGGGGCTACTCTTCATTGTGGTGCACGGGCTTCTCATTGCGGTGGCTTCTCCTGTTGTGGAGCACGGGCTCTAGGCGTGCGGGCTTCAGTAGTTGTGGCACATGGGCTCAGTAGTTGTGGCTTGCAGGCTCTAGAGTGCAGGCTCAGTAGTTGTGGCTCACGGGCTTAGTTGCTCTGCGGCACGTGGGATCTGCCCCGACCAGGGCTGGAACCCATGTCCCCTGCATTGGCAGGCAGGCCAATCACTTACTTTTGTCATTTAGTTTATTTCCTTTCTTGAAAACATTTGTAAATACCACTGAGATGAACATCCTTGTAGCTAATCTGTATTTATAGCCTTTTCTTAATTATTTCCCTTGGATATGCCCCTCGATAAGTTTTACTTTGATGAGCAGTAAGGAAAAACAATGTATGAAATAGGAGAGAATGAAGCAAGTCCATAGTAGCTTTTCACCATTATTTTGGGACCTAAAATGTGTTTGGCTTGCAGGTTCGAGGGCTTACTCAGCATAACATAATGCAACGAATTTAAAATATATTCCTGTGGCTCAACACCTGGAAATCCGAGCTCTCTGCAAAACACTGCAGAAATGCTGATAGGGAAACTTAAAATCACAAAACAAATAACTTCATGCTACATCAGAAACCATCCTATTCCAGCATCTAGTACAGACAAGCATGAGGTATCCAGTTAAGAAAAACACATCAGGGAGTTCCCTGGTGGCGCAGTGGTTCAGAGTCCGCCTGCCAATGCAGAGGACACAGGTTCGAGCCCTGGTCCGGGAAGATCCCACATGCTGCAGAGCAACTAAGCCTGTGCGCCACAACTACTGAGCCTGCGCTCTAGAGCCCGCAAGCCACAACTACTGAGCCCATGTGCCACAACTACTGAAGCCTGCCTGCCACAACTACTGAAGCTAGTGCACCTAGAGCCCATGCTCTGCAATAAGAGAAGCCACCGCGATGAGAAGCCCGCGAACTTCAACAAAGAGTAGCCCCCGCTCTCCACAACTAGAGAAGGCCCGCAGGCAGCAACGAAGACCCAATGCAGCCGAAAATAAATAAATAAATAAATGTATTTTTAAAAAAAAAAGAAAGACACATCAGAGAATTTTTTTTTTTTTTGTGGTACGCGGGCCTCTCACTGTTGTGGCCTCTCCCGTTGCGGAACACAGGCTCCGGACGCGCAGGCCCAGCGGCCATGGCTCACGGGCCCAGCCGCTCCGCGGCATGTGGAATCTTCTCAGACCGGGGCACGAACCCATGTCCCCTACATCGGCAGGCGGACTCTCAACCACTGCGCCACCAGGGAAGCCCAGAGAAAAATTTTTAACTGAGAAAGTTTGGCCCATTAATTAATTATTGTTCTACTCTAAACTGAAAAAAGGCTGGCATTATCTGATTTGGTGGAGCTCAAAAACTATTAGTGCAGATGGAAAAGCAGAATATTTTGTTTTGAGTCTCTACTCTGCCACTTATTAAATGCATAAATCTCTTAAACACTCTGAAGCCTCAATATCCTCTTCTGCAAAATGGGTTTATAATAGTACCTTTGTCATTCACAGTGTTATTACAGGGAAAAAATGAACTAAATTGTGAAAAAGCACTTTGTGAAGTGTAATATTGTAACACAAATGTCACCAGTAATGGTTATTGTAATTGATGAAGTGTTGAAAAATTCAGGCTTTCCTAAACTGAGTTTGTCACAAAGATTGGACCGCATAAATATAATCCTAAATATAAGAATTTAAAGATTTGAGAGCACTCTATCAAACCTGCCATAAAATAAATATCTTATAGAAAAAAATACTTAAATCAACCTTCAAAAGATGAGGTTAAAAAATTCCTTTCAGTTCTATAAGTTCTTTTATTCTGTGACTCAGGTGAGAAGGGACACTTATTCTATGAACTTTTATTGTTGTTCAGTTCATGAACATGTTGTTCATGTTCATTCTTACATGGAAACTTAAAGGACCTAAACTTTATAAAAATAAGTAGCTTTTCAAAAAGCGAAAAATGTCTCTATACTAAAATCATAAGCACAAAAAACAACAGTATACGAACAAGGACTGAAAGACAGTAGACAACAATAAGAATACTTACACCGAGATCACAGCTTTACAGATTTTTCTTTTTAAAATTCCTGTTATTCATAATACATCATTTGAAATAAATTTTTAAATGTATAAAGAATTGTCTTTCCTCTTTGTCTTATCTTTTTCCTTTCTACTTCTTTAAAGTTTTGAATTACATGGGCAAATCAATTTAAAGAAATTCATCCCATGTTAACAGTACTTAGAGTTCTATGCCCCTTAATCAGTTTATTCTCACCCAACTTTCAAAATATTTATAATTAGGCAGGAAACATATCTTTCTAATCTATGTTCTAGAATAATAAAATCAATCTTCCTATCCTGGTTAGAAACAAGTTACAAGGTAAACAAATGTTATAGGTGAGGTGGAAAGAATATTGTAAAGGAGACAAAATTATGGTCATCTCAATCAATGCAGAAAAAACATTGTGTAGTATTCATTACTCAATCGTGATGTAAAACAAAAACTCTAAGCAAACTAGGAATAAAAGGGAATTTCTCTTATCGAATAAAGGTTTAATTAGGATAAGCTTACCTGCAAATGACAAAACAGAAAGAGTGGCTCAAACAAGATAAGAGTTTATTTCTTACTCATGTGAATCTGGGCGATCCTGGCTAGCATGACAGCTCCAAGATCATCAAAAGATCAGCTATCGAGAAGATATACCTATCGGGACTTCCCTGGTGGTGCAGTGGTTAAGAGACTGCGCTCCCAATGCAGGGGGCCCAGGTTCGATCCCTGGTCAGGGAACTAGATCCCACATGCATGCCACAACTAAGAATTTGCATGCCACAAATAAGGAGCCTGAGAGCCACAGAGCTAAGGAGCACGCCTGCTGCAACCAAATAAGACCCGGCGCAACCAAATAAATAAATAGAAGAAGAAGGTATACCTGTCAACAGAAAGGAGGAGGAAAAGGAAGGGGGAAAGCATTTCCCCTTTCCTTCAAGGATATGTACCACCTCTGTGTGATACATAATTATATCTTCTTAGAGATAACCACATCTACTAACTGCAAGGGAAGCTGAGAAATATAGTATGCATTTCAGGTAGCTATATGATCAGCTAAAAATCTGGGGTTCTATCACTGTAAGAATAAAACAGATAATGGGAGACAACTATTTACCAAAAACCAACAGCAAACTTACAGCAAACATCATGGTTAGTGCTGAAAAATTAGAAACATTTTATAAAAATATGAAACAAGACAAAGATGCTTTCCTTTCTGTGCTATTAAACATCGTCCTAGAAGTCCAACCCAATGCAATAAGAAAAAATAAAAAAGAGGAATAAGGATTCAAAAATAATACAGAAAAATCTTTGTTATTTGCAGTTGAAATGGTTGTCTATGTAGAAAGTCCAAGAAAAACATCAGAATAGTTCAGCAACTTGCTGGTAAAAACAACATCCAAAAATCAAGAGTGTTGTTAATGATAAAAAATACAATAAGAGCAACAAAAACTATGAGATACCCATGAATAAAGAGACAAAAGATGGACAAGACTTTTAAGAAGAAATTTACAAAACACTGAAGGATATAAAAGACGACTTAGGTAAACACAGACTACACTTTGTTAGTGAATAGAAGGACTCAATATTAGTCTATAATTTAGCCTATAAATTCATTAGTCTATAATATTAGTTAGTCTAGAAATTCATTGTAAAAATCAAAATTCCAAAAGGCCGTTTTATGGCTCTTGATAAACTGATCTTAAATTTCACATGAAAGAACAAGTATGCCTAAAATAGCCAAGATTATTTTGAGGGAAAAAAACAAGGAGGAGGGAACTTGACTTACCAGACCAGATAAGAAAAATTTATCATAAAGCCATATTTAAAAAACAATTCGACTTTTCTTTAGGGATAGACAAACAGATTAAAGGGACAAATGGCCCAGAAACAACTGAAATACACATGGAAACTTGGCATAAAATAGAAATCGCATTATAAATCAGTGGGAAAAGATTAAAAACTCAATAAATGATGCTGGAACAATTAGCTACTAATACAAAAAATAAAATCAATTTGTTTCCTACCTTACACTAGATAAAAAGAAATTCCAGTGTGATGAATTGGGTGATTGGGATTGACATGTATACAGTGATGTATATAAAATTGATGACTAAAAAAAAAAAAAGAAATCCCAAGTGGATTAAAAATCTTTAAGGTAAAAACGTAACCTGTAAAAATTGTTAGAAGAGAACAAGGACTATCTTTGTGACATCAGAATAGGGAAAGATTTTCTACACAAGACTCAAAAGTACAAAGATAAAGAAAAGCACTTTGGGCTTCCCTGGTGGCGCAGTGGTTAAGAATCCGCCTGCCAAGGCAGGGGACACAGGTTCGAGCCCTGATCTGGGAAGATCCCACATGCCGCGGAGCAGGTAAGTGCGTGCGCCACAACGACTGAGCCTGAGCTCTAGAACCCGTGAGCCGCAACTACTGAGGCCGCATACCAGGACTACTGAACTCCGTGCGCCTAGAGCCTGTGCTCCGCAACTAGAGAAGCCACCGCAGTGAAGAGCCCGCTCACCGCAACTAGAGAAAGCCTGCACACAGCAACAAAGACCCAACGCAGGCAAAAATAAATAAATAAATAAAAACAATAAATTAAAACATTAAAATTGATAACATTAAAATTTTAAATATCTGCCAGACCATATTAATATAACATGATAATATACCACAGAAAATATCAAAGGATACTTACAAACTGAAGATATTTGCAACTCAACACAACAAAATTAATAGATGACCCAACAAAAGATTAATACACTGAATATATATAAATTCCAACAAACATTTTTAAAAAAATAACACATTTTTTAAAAAAGGCAAAGGTTGTGAACAAGAAATTCATCAAAGAGAATCCTGGATAGTCAATAAATATATGAGAAGATGCTCAACCTCACCAGTAACTAGAGGAATGAAAATTACAATAACAATCAAATAACTTCAGGAGTAGAAAAAAATTAATAGAACTTATATTTTGAAATAGTTCTAGATTTACAGAAAATCTGAGAAAATAGTAGAGTTTCCATTTACCTCAAGCCCAGGTTCCCTGTATGTTAACATCTTATAAGTGTGGTACATTGTTACAATTAATGCACCAATATTGACACATCATTATTCACTGAAGTCCACAGTTTATCCAGATTTCCTTAGTTTACCTAATGTCCTTTATGTGTTCCAGGATCTCCCAACCAGGATACTACTTTACATGTGGTCCTTATGTCTCCTTAGTTTCTCTTGGCTTGACATTTTCTGACTTTCCTTGTTTTTGATGACCTTGACAGGTTTGAGGAATGCTGGACAGGTATATTGTATGTTACCCCTCTATTGGAATTGGCCTGATGTTATTCCTGTAATTAGAGTGGGGCAATGTACTTTTTAGAGGAAGACCACAGAGCTAAAGTGCCATTTTCACCACATCATATAAAGGGTACATATCAACATGATTTATGATATTGATGTTGACCTTGTTCACCTGGCTGAAGAGTTGAAACATTTAGGGACCTTAAAATTCTAAATTTAATTAGGACAAAAGGAAAGGAAATGAGAACTTTCATACACTGCTGATGCTGGTGGAAGTATAAATTGACAAAACAAAAAATAAGCAAATGAACAAACAAACCCCTCACTTTGGGTAGAAATTTGGCAATAGTGGTTGGAAAGTTGGAAATGTCTATACTCTTTTTTTATTTTATTTTATTTTATTTTTATTTTTTGCGGTACGCGGGCCTCTCACTGTTGTGGCCTCTCCCGTTGCGGAGCCCAGGCTCCGGACGCGCAGGCTCACCGGCCATGGCTCACGGGCCCAGCCGCTCCGCGGCATGTGGGATCTTCCCGGATCGGGGCACGAACCCGTGTCCCCTGTATCAGCAGGTGGACTCTCAACCACTGCACCGCCAGGGAAGCCCGGAAATGTCTATACTCTTGACTTAGCAATTCCCCTTCTAGATTTGAGAAACTCTTACTCATGTATATAAGCATGCAATAACATGCTTATTGCAACATTATTTGTAATATTGAAAAACTAGAAAGTGGGAATAGATGTCATCATTTAAAACGCTGGATCCATTGGTGCTTGAAGCCTGACCAGCTCCCCTGCAACCCAGAGCTTTTCAATTACGTGGCCAAATAAAATTCTACCTTAAGCCTGTTTGAAATGATTTTTCTGTTACTTGCAAGCTTATTGAGTCCTAAGTGGTACGTCTAGGTATTATTGTCAAGTTGACTTAAATCCATGCCCAGTTTTTTAAAAAAGGAAAAAGGCAACAACTATTAAGCAAAGCCTAAACGCCTAGACTCTAGACCCTAGAGGATAATTAAACCACAACAGCCAACATCCCTGGGGTTACAGTCTACAAACTATTCCAGACAAGTCTTGATCAAAGAGCAAAATCAATAAATGAAAGAAACGAAATAAAAATAATACTTGAAACTGAAGAAAATATTTTTATAAAGTGATGTCTTACAAAGTGGCATTCATATAATCAAGGTGAAGTTTTTCTTTTGCTTATTTTAAAATAGGAAATATTTCAAATATGCAGGAAATAGATGCCATGTATCCATCACTCAGATTTAACAAATTCAACTTTTCCCTATATTTCTCCATATTTTTTAGGAAGACAGAAGACATTATACATAACACTGAAGTCTCCTTTCCCATCCTTTTTTCCTTTTTCTCTCCCTATAGTAACCACTATTCTGAAGTTGGAGTGTGTCATCCCTTGCTTGGTTTTATACTTTTACTACATGTATGTATCTCATTGTTTGAATTTGCATTTTCTTACTACTAATGAGTTTGAACATTTTTTCAGATATTTATTGACCATTAAAGGTCTTCTCCTGTTTGTTTCCTTGGTCTTTTCTTTTTTTCTTCATTTGGGTTGTTTGTCTTTTGTTAGTCTTCCACATAGTCTGGATACAAATTCATTGTTGGTTATATGTATTGCAAATATCTCCTCCCTATCCATAGCTTGTCTTTGCCATGGTTTATGGTGTCTCAAGGACATCTGAAAAACCTCAGACTTGAAAGCCAAGCCTTGGGTAAGGAGGGTCTCATCCATTATACAGAGATTTGCTCCTAGGTCACAAAACTCTGTCTAACATATGAATGATGAACGGACAACTGCCTCTAAAATAACTAAAGAAAGCTCTTTGTTACAGGACCAGTAATCTGTAGGGTACTCAAAACTGTCCGAGAATCTGAGAATTAGTAAATGGTTATCAACACATATTCTAATTTATGCCAGTATTCTAACATCAGAGATTTTGGAGTAGCCAGCTAAGCTTTCTTGAGTGAATTAGGCTTTCTTGAGTAGACACAAAAAGAAGCCCCCCGGTTCAGATGCCTTTATGTAATCTGAGGGAGTCATACCTTAAACCAATACTCAAAATGTGCTCCACATAGGACATTCCTTCTTTGGGATGTTTATAGATGTTAGTGGAACAAAAGAGTTTTGCGATCAAGTATGTTTGGGAAATGTTGGGTTAAAACTCTTTTTCCCTTGGACTGGTTTACTTTTGATATCTTACTATGCACTGTGAATCAAGGGCTGGCTAGAATAGACAGGGTTTCCCAAACTCATTTGACCATGGAACATTTTTTCCATGGATTTATTTTCAGCCATTAAGATTGGTTAAGCAGGATCAAGTTTTAGTTTTAAAGAATAAGGAGATAGTGATAATAATAATAATAAAAGAACGAAATAATGCCATTTGCAGCAACATGGATGGACCTAGAGATTGTGATACTGAGTGAGATAAGTCAGACAGAGAAAGACAAATACCATATGATATTGCTTATATGTGGAATCTAAAAAAAAAAGGGTACAAATGAACTTATCTACAAAACAGAAATAGAGTTACAGATGTAGAAAACAAACTTATGGTTACCAGGGGACAAGGTGGGAGGAGGGATAAATTGGAAGACTGGGATTGACATATACACACTACTATATATAAAATAGATAACTAGTAAGGACCTACTGTATAGCACAGGGAACTCTACTCAATACTCTGTAATGGCCTATATGGGAAAAGAATCTAAAAAAGAGTGGGTATATGTATATGTATAACTGATTCACATTGCTGTACACCTGAAAGTAACACAACATTGTAAATCAACTATGCTTCAATTAAAAAAAAGTTTTCATTTTAAAGGATAAGGAGATAGTAATAATAATAATAATAGCTGTCAGTTCCTTAGTGTTTGCAATATTCCAGGTCCCATGCAAGGCACGTTATTATCTCGTGTCATTGTCACAACAACCTAGAGATATATATTATTATGATTTGCAATATAAATATGAGAAAAGCGAGGCTCAGGTATGTGGCTGAAGGTCACATAATTAGTAGTTGGACTGGAACCTCATCAAACCGCTGGAGAGCTCTCAATCCTGGAGGGAAATGGCAGGGAGCACATGTGCCAGGCAGAGTGAGTTCTCGATATTCATATTATCATTAAATCTCATCAATCATCACATCCACTCTGAGGCAGATACTATTACTGCTCCCATTTTACAGATGAGAGAATGGAGGTTTTATTCTCCTATCCTGCTCAGGATTCCTATACCTCAAGATGGATATTAAGATAAAGAACAATGTTGTAGTATCAGTATCGATACCTTGAAGCAACACTATATGTCGCCAGAAATTTTTTAAAAACCTATAACTAGGAATAAATTTTTTAAAAAGCCACTCAAAAGAATACCATATATTGTTCATATAAAATATACGTATGTGTCTCTCTCTATATATGTATCTCTGTATATACATACTTACAAATACACACACACACACACACACACACACACACACACACACACACACATATTCAAGAATGAACTGAGGGGGCTTCCCTGGGGGTGCAGTGGTTAAGAATCCACCTGCCGGGCTTCCCTGATGGCGCAGCGGTTGGGAGTCCGCCTGCCGATGCAGGGGACAGGGGTTCGTGCCCCGGTCTGGGAGGATCCCGCATGCCAAGGAGCGGCTGGGCCCGTGGGCCATGGCCGCTGGGCCTGCGCGTCTGGAGCCTGTGCTCCGCAATGGGAGAGGCCACGGCAGTGAGAGGCCCGCATACCGCAAAAAAAAAAAAAAAAAAAAAAGAATCCACCTGCCAATGCAGGGGACACGGGTTCAAGCTGTGGTCTGGGAAGATCCCACATGCCGTGGAGCAACTAAGCCTGTGCACCACAACTACCGAGCCTGCGCTCTAGAGCCCACGAGCCACAACTACTGAGCCCACACACCACATCTACTGAAGCCCGTGCACTCTAGAGCCCGTGCTCTGCAACAAGAGAAGCCACCGCAATGAGAAGCCCGCACACTGCAACGAAGAGTAGCCCCCACTGGTCGCAACTAGAGAAAGTCCGCGTGCAGCAATGAAGACTCAACACAGCCAAAAAAAATAGTAAGTAAATAAAAATAAAATTAAAAAATAAAAAAGAATGAACTGGGGACTTCCCTGGTGGTCTAGTGGTTAAGACTCCGAGCTCCTAATGCAAGGGGCCAGGGTTCGATCCCTGGTCAGGGAACTAGATCCCGCATGCTGCAACTGAGAGCCTGCATGCCGGAACTAAAGAGTCTGCATGCTGCAACTAAAAGACCCCACACGCTGCAACGAAGATCCCGCATGCCGCAACTAAGACCCGGCACAGCCAAATAAATAAATAAATAAATATTAAAAAAAAAAAAGAATGAACTGGAAGGGAAAATTCCAACCTCATGATAGGGGATGGTGGTTAAATCAGCCTTTAGCTTTGTTTTCAATCTTTCTTTCAATAAAGAAACAAAACAAAGATTGGTAGCAAATATTACAAAATGTTAATGGTTATTTCTGAGTTAGCAGTCAGAATATAGGTCTGGTTTTTATTTTGTTACTCTTTGTACTTTTGTGTATTTTTGAAATTTCTCCAAATACAAAAGAATTTCTTAAAAAAATGGGAAGGAACTACACCAAAATAGTAATAGTGATCATCCTTTTATTCTTCCTTCTGCTTTTCTCTCATAATTTCCTAAGATTTTGTAATAAGCAAAACTATAATGGGAGGGAAACCACCAAATCATTTTTGTCTTGTTCTAAAGTTTTGTTTTTAGCAGACATAATCCTAATATCTGGCGGTAATGTCAGTCCAGAATCAACCCTGAGCTATCATCTTATGCATTTTTATAAACATTCTTCTTAATATAATCCCCAGTACTGAGTAGCTGCAATTAAATAGGTGATGGAAAAGCCCATACTGTCCTAATAATATCCCCCACCCTGATCAGTGGGTTAAAGCCCTCTCATGAGCTTGGAGTCATGAGGACATGAGTCATGGACAAGGTATCAATGTCTATTGTGTCTTTAATTTCT